TTCACTGCGTCCGTTACCTTTTGCCAAATTAAACCAACTGCTTCGTAAGACTTCTTAGTCGTGTTCACTGCGGTATCAGCCAAGCCGGCCACACCATCAAGATTATTCGTCTCACCATCCGTCTTGTCCTTCACTGCGGCATTAAGCGCAGTAGCCGCCTCTGAAGCCGATTGAGCCACAGCCTTGAATTGCTCCGTTGCTTGCTTGATTGCGCCCACCTCACTCTTGGCCTCATTCACCGCATTCTTGGCCTCAACCGCCTTATCCCTCGCCTTCTGCAGGGCAACAATCACTTGCTCCTCGTCACCGATGCCCTCGGCAGGGGCCGCTGCACAGCCACACACGCAGCACAGCACGACGGCCACCACAAACAACGCGGGACGCCCCACCGCCGCCATCATCACAGCCCGAGGCACACTGGTCTACAGAGGAGGGGGAGGGGGGACGCACAGCGGAGTACACAAGCACAGCAGGGGAGAGCACCACCACGCAGACGACCTCCCAACAGCAGCAGCAGCCCAACATGCGAAGCATGGCGCAGCTCACACACAAGAGAGAGTCATTTAGAAGAATACTTCAGAGAAGGCCCTCTCATGTGGGCGGCGCACAATCATGTGCCAAGCAGAGCCCATTACAGCAGTGAGAGAGATGCGCCGTCCTCGTTGGATACAGAGCACAGGGAGTATCCTCCAAGGTCGATTAGGTGGCGCGCCGGAAACAAACTACACAGAAATGAAACAAAGAGTAATCCAAAACATGCTGTTATTCAATCTACAGGGCAGCACACACAAGCACAGGGTGTATGCGTCCTCTCCGTGTGCACACACCGCTCAGCACACAGCCAGGAGGCCCAGCACACCAACAACCAGCAGCAACGGTGTACGCACCCACGAAGGACTGACGCTGCTGTCGGTATTCCGGGCATCACTCAGGGTGTTGGGACCATTGTTCTCGATGGATTCTGCGGCTGTCGCCTTCTCCGATGGTTCCGATGGCGACTGCGCTGTGTCCGTCGCTGTGGTGCCAGCTTTTTGTTGTGTAGAAGGCTTCTCAGCAGTGGAGGTACTGCTCGGTGGATCCTGTGGGAGACTCTGGCTGTGCGACTCGTCATCTGGCGATTCCGAAGGTGGAGGTGGCGCAGCCTGAACATCAGCAGATGACGACTCAGGCTCCTTCTCTCGTTTTTTAAGAGCCTTCAACGCAGCGTCGATCTGCTCGAGCTGTGACTCAGCGCTGTTGAGGGCGTCTCCAGCGTGTTTTGATGCCTCTTCAGCGGCTCTCGAAGCATTCTCTGCGTCTTCCACTGCAGCCTGTGTTAATTCAACAGCTTCATTCGCGGCCTTCTTTAGTTCCTGGATCACAGATAAGGATGTGCTGGCAGTGTTCTTGTCGAGGCATTTGGACGCAATCTCCGCGCTGTCGATTGCAAAAACAGCATTACCTGCGCTCGACACATCAGTGTACAGTTTATCAGCAGTTCTCTCGGCGTCTGAAAGTTTCGTCACCACACCTGGTAGCTTCTCAAATGCCTGCAGTACGCGCGCTGCTTCGGTGCTGATAACTACATCTGGGTCACCCGCTGCGCTGCGAGCCATCCTCTGCGCCTCCGCAACCAAATCCCCTGCCTTGCTTGTTGCTTTCACTGCGTCCGTTACCTTTTGCCAAATTAAACCAACTGCTTCGTAAGACTTCTTAGTCGTGTTCACTGCGGTATCAGCCAAGCCGGCCACACCATCAAGATTATTCGTCTCACCATCCGTCTTGTCCTTCACTGCGGCATTAAGCGCAGTAGCCGCCTCTGAAGCCGATTGAG